TTAACTAGGGACGCTGGTGACACGCCCCTCACCACTTACCTTGCCGCCGCGAGATCACAGACGCGGCAGTAGCGGCGCAGCCGAGTTACGTTACCATTACTGAGTGTAGTATTACAACGCATAGATGAACGTACGGGTTATAAATCGCAAATCTCTCTCTCTCTCTCTCTCTGTCTGTCTGTCTCTCTCTCTCTCTCTCTCTCTTCTCTTCTCTCTCTCTCTCTCTCTCTCTCTATATATATATATATATATATTAATATCAAAATAGAATACGGCAAGTTAATTGCATCAAGTGAGTTTTCAATGTATCTGCTTCAGGTAAACGGACACATTTCCCACGCGTGTGCGTGTAATTATATATATATATGTATATATACAATATAATTCATGAATTTACCGGACCCAGACGGATTACCCTCCTCACACGTTGGGAATGAGTAGACGCAACAGACTGACATAGAGGGGCAGAAAAACTTTATTTGATAAAGAACAATCAAAGACAAATGCTGGGTAGGCTATAGCATGGCATGTTGGGGGTAGGCGGAGCAAAAGCTACACAATGTTTATCATAAATGACAAGATGTACATTTTGTACTGAAGTACATAAACTACACATGCATTCAGGGTCTGTCTACACCATACAGCCACAATTATTCATATAGTGCAACTTTGTAATAATATAATACACTCTTGCATGACTAGTATAGTGCACAAACAAACAAACAAACAGACAGACAGAAAGACACCCCACCAAGTCCCCAATTTCACGATATACTGGAGACCCAACGAGGCTCGAACATTTCTGGGGTTTCAGCACAAAGATGCTCTCGAACTCTCCTTTGCCTTTTCTCGATTTTCCTCTAAAATTCTAAAGCAAGACTCTCAATGAAGAGAATAAGGCGGAGGGGAGGAGGGGGGCATAAGAAAGGCCCGGGCTTCGCGCTTCTACACCGCGGCTCCGTCCGGTCGGCGTAAAGACAAAACACAAATGTGTATGCGTATGCGCCTTGTCTTTAGACCGACCTCACCACGTCGGACGGACCACAACGTCGCCTCCTTCCTCCCTTCCTTCGAATAAAACACCCGTCGACTGATGCAGCGACCGGGCGAGCGGAACCGAGATTCGAGTCTGAGAGGATCGATTGCAACGCCACAGCTCGTTGACAGACGAGCTGGAGAAATAGCGAAAAATTGCACTTGTTGCGAACGCACTGGAAACGAACGCCGCCGTCGCCGACCTGTTCGCCAATCGGCGCGAATGCGCAACCGCGGCTGCTGACGATAATGGGCGAAGAACCTCGTCGAACGATGGAGCCACCGTCGGACAACTCTCGCGAGAACAGCGGCGAACCACCGAGCTGTACGTAATAACAGCTATTAACATTATTATAAACGTTAACGATATATACATGTTATTATACAGCTCAGTGCGGCGAACGAACCTTATTCGCAAACGTCTCCGCCGGCGCGTGCCACGGCCCGCCACCTTGCGGCGTTGTCGGGCAGCTCCGCTAATTATACGCTACCCGAGGCGCCAGTGGGGGAATCGCTCCGAATGAGACGACAGCAGCCTCCTTCCACGACATTATGTTAATTGTCTAATAATAATTACTTTCATCGCGCTAGGTGAATACTGTTGGCGCGTCGCGCACTCCGTCGCCGACACGTGCTGCCACCTACATGCAGCCGAGCGTCCTGGCGCGCTCACGTATAATATTGATTGTTCTTTCGAAATCTGACTACCTTCTCTTTAACAATTTACAACAAATCATAATGATGTTATCTATAAATAATTTTCACATCTATGCACACGATAAAATCTATGATATATTCAACATTCTTCAATAGTTACGTCATCATCTTTCGACAGAAAGCTCAAGATCGACATCTGTAAACATCAGCAACAGCATCAGTTGTATCAACACGCTTACAACTAGCCCTTTTGAGCTCTTAAAAATAGTAAACGGGCATCATAAGAAAAGCAGTAGTTATTCTGATTATTGTAAAGAACATATAGACATATGCTACGCCAGCTGTCGCAGCCACGTCAGACGGTAAGCATCGAACAGACACCGTAACATAGATGCCTGACGGTTGTAGGACAGAAAGGTGAGGGAGAGGGAGAGATAGGAGAAAAATAAAGAGAGAGACAGGGAGAGACAGGGAGAGAGGAATGGGAGCGAGCGGTAAACTGGCTGACAGTCACTGTGGTAAAACATTGAAATATTGATGCACTTTGTAAATATATAACTATAACAGGAACAACATGTTAAAACACTTACACAGTCTAGAAATCTGACAGCTGTTCATCAAAAAAGATAAACAAATACGCGTTTTCGTATTTGAAATAAAACATTTTGTTCTCGTGGCTTATAGCCAATGATGACACTAGAACACTATATATGGAATCCTAGTAGCGACCACGCGCAGTCAAGGCAAGCGAACTTGCGTACACCCACACCTGCCATATTTACAAAAATCAATTATGTCATAATCGTCATGATATCTTATGCACATCGAATTCACGGTGACGAATAATAAAATCGCTAAACATGATACGGGGGAGAGCAGAAGAATGAGATTTCGATGTTTCACCAACACTTCGCGCATTGGTGGCACACCGGATATCCGGCCGCCATTTTGAGAAGCGATGGTCACGCTCACGGTGCGTCGATACACGGGGCGTCCGTCGGTTGCGCAGCGCAGTTACTCCCCTGGCGCGGGGAGCCACGGGGGTAATACTACATCGGTAACGTGACACACTGAGCCACCGTACATACATATACATATATATAGAGAGAAGGGGGAAGGTGAAACGCCGCCGTCTTCCCGGTGGGCGCAGCGTAACTGATCGATGTGTGTACCTCATGTGGCAGCGGGACACGGCACGCTCGCGCATCTACTACGCGCACTACAATTCATTGTACTATTAACTGCTCTCGAGAAGAGGGAAAGATGGTGCGGGACCGTACCACCGCCTCGTTGAGGGGTGTGTGTGTGTTTGTGGAAGGTTTGCTGTACAGCTGGGAGGTGGGGTGCATGGGGGAGCGCGAGTTGCTACACATCTAATGTACTTCTCAAATGCAATCAATTCCCTTCTCCTTCCTTCCTGAGGATAACACACGAGACCAAGAACGCGCAGACACAAAGAATAATCACTGACATTAAGGCGGCCCGCTTACGCGAGTAACCGCCAGGCGGCGCCCCGTGCGGCCACGTGCAGTTCGGGGCAACCGCTTTGCACATGAATGACAAAAATATTCACGCACCCAGCACTTATAATTAGTCAACAACAGATTCGCACCGTGCGCCGAGTAAATGACTTCAAAAAAAGAACGCAAATACATATACAGGAGTATTCACAGAAGTACGCATATATACGCTCACTCTTTGTGTCGTCGCGTGCTCGATGTAGCAGAGGACAGGTGTACGAGTGAGGTCGTCACACGGAACAAAAGCACCCTGTATCCTGTCGACGACGCACGACGGTTAAAAATAAATCTACAATCTAGAGATCACATAAAACACATGACTGATATACGTGTCTCGAACCGCTAGACCAAACTACGAATTTCTGGCACCTGTGCCACGCCACGCCACGCGACGCCCAGCAGATCGGCAGGCAGACGAGAGGGAAGGGCCGGCCTACGGCCAGCGACTCACTCCAGGTGCCGGCTTTCTTCCCCTGCGCCTCCCTCGCGGTGCCGGCACCTCTTCTGTCACTCAGACAGTAAAGCAGTGCGAACTCAACGAAGAGCTTGCCACGGATCCTTTTCAATAGAGAGAGGAAGAGAAAGTCTACCTCTGTTCTGACTACAACGATGACAAGGTTACTGCAAGTCACTCAACCGACGAATGGCTACGGTGATGAGCCACTAACTGAGCAAATGGCGATAGGGGGCGCCACTGTTTTACAAAGAAAGACGGGGAAGAAATGGTGCCGAGACCTCTCAGTGACGAAGAGTACAGACTTGCCAGCGTCCGCGTCAACATAGTGTCCGTGTTAGCCAGAGTCCAGCGAGGGCGAGTAACAAACGATATTAATAGCTATGAACAAACACAAACGAGACACGGTATTCACAAGTAAAACGGTCGAGCAGCGATATACCATATATATATATAGCTAGCTTTTAAGTTAATAATTTAATGTACAACATGGCAACAACCAACAGCAAACACGTATATCATGACTCACTGTACAACGCATTCTCCGACCATTCTCGCCCGACAGCTGTTCATTTGTGTCGCAACACGTCTTCACTGATTTCACATGGCTAGAAGCAGTTTACAAGCCCAGAGCCATTGCAGCCTAGCAGTGCTGCTCATACGAATCCTAAACGAACCCCATCACTGCATGACGGACTGGTAGGGTAACCTACAATTGCCTGCGAGACTGGTAAGGAAACCAACACCTGCCTATGAGACTGGTAGGGAGAGTTATATCTGCCTGTGAAACTGGTAGACAGTGTTATATCTGCGTGTGAGACTTGAAACGAAGCATACACCTGCCTGTGAGAACAACAGGGAGGGGGGGTTATACCTGCCTTTGAGACATGTAGGGAGTGTTATATATGCATGGGAGACATGTAGGGATGGCTATACCTGCCCATGAGAGCAGTAGAGAGCCATATACCTGCCTGTGAGACATGTAGGGATGGCTATACCTGGCCATGAGAGCAGTAGAGAGCCATATACCTGCCTGTGAGACATGTAGGGATGGCTATACCTGGCCATGAGAGCAGTAGAGAGCCATATACCTGCCTGTGAGACATGTAGGGTTGGCTATACCTGGCCATGAGAGCAGTAGAGAGCCATATACCTGCCTGTGAGACATGTAGGGTTGGCTATACCTGGCCATGAGAGCAGTAGAGATCAATATACCTGCCTGTGAGACACGTAGGGATGGCTATACCTGCCTGTGAGACATGTAGGGATGGCTATACCTGGCCATGAGAGCAGTAGAGAGCCATATACCTGCCTGTGAGACATCTAGGGATGGC